GCAATGGACTTGAGCGGGGGCTCGTCCGGGACTCGTTCTGCTGTTCAGATTTTCTTGCTTGAGGTGCCATCATGGCCGGTTTATACATTTGGGAACCGCGCGCCTAGACTATTAAGATGATTTTTCATAATCAACGTTTTTGGGTTTAGATCGCGTTATTTATAAATGTGTCGTAACCCTCCACCACCCAACACGGCCAATCACCAAAAAAGTGTTACGTTGACAAAAGACAAATAGTTCACTGCTTTAGCCCACCGGTGTGTTGAAGCGTGAAACCACAACATTTACAATTTTTGGCTGCTATAAATGTCCAAATGATGGGGCCACTTTGTTGAGCGGCTGTCATTTGTGGTAGCCAGATCGGCTTTGAAAAATGAGTTAATACCCTGAGTAGGGCTTTGCCTGCTAGGATGTGGATGGTTTAGTGTCGTATTGTGTCTGCGTTTGGGTGAGTTGTTGACCTTTCTCGTATGTTTGCACTCCGATCGTGTTGTTGCATTGTTTGCTGTTGTAACGTTCTGAGCGCGTGCCCTGACTGGACATCTGTGATGTCAAGAGCTTCGTGGCTCATCGGATTCCTCACGCTGCAGTTTGAATACTGATTCCAATTCTGATTCGTGACGCGAATAAGAATTGGAATCTAGCCAACGCAGGTAAGGCTGCGTTGGCTGGGTCATGTAGCCCGCATGCCCAGCCACCGCATGCCTAAACAGCTTTTGTTCGGCCGGATCGAGGGGGCTAAACGGGCGCGGCACAGGCTAGAGAAGAGACGGAGTGACGTGGTACAGGATGACGTGGAGCTGAGTGGACTTGCCGATGACTGGTACCAGCGGTGTCAAGATCGGCCTCTGTGGAGGAGGCTCGTGAAGGACGCTACTGGGCAGTTGGAGGCAGTCGCCCTCCAACAACAACGGAGGGCGGAGGAGCGACGCTCACAACAACGAGCGGAGCGTCGGGTGGCTAAAGCCCAGCAAGTTGGCACAGTAGGGGGCACAGGTGGTGCATCAGCCAGTCATCTCGGTCAGTCGACCCGTGGCACCTGCTGGGTCAGCCCCGTGACCTCCTGCCAGCGGGCGTTCGACACTTCACGTGATAGCCTCAAGGTGCACATGGCCTGGCACAAGCGTCGTGGTGACGTCACTGCCACTTAGTTGCGACTGGCGGTTGTTGTTGTTGTTGTGGTTGTTGTGGAGGTGTCCGAGTCCGAGCGGGAGGAGTGTGGAGCCGTGGGGCACGTGCAGGGCTGGGTGGAGAAGCTGTGCCACACGCGGCTGCAGCAGATGGCGCCACCCACAGAGGTAGCCACCCTGGTGGTGCTGGTGGTGGTAGTGCTGCTGGTAGTGGTGGTGGTGCTGCTGGTGGTGGTGATGGTGGTGCTGCTGGTGGTGGTGATGGTGGTGCTGGTGGTGGTGCTGGGCTGGGTTCGGTGGAGAATCTGTGCAACACGCGGCTGCAGCAGATGGCGCCACCCGCACAGGTAGCCACCCTGGTGGTGCTGGTGGTGGTGGTGCTGGTGGTGGTAGTGCTGGTGGTGGTAGTGGTGGTGGTGATGAAAGTGATTGTGGTGATGGGGATGATGAAAGTGGTGATGGTGAAGATCATCACTGTCGCCAGCTGTCTACCTTGTGTGCTGTGTATCTTGTCACCGTTCTTCAAATACGGACCGAGTATTTACTCTGAGATCCGGTCTCCCCGAGTCTCTACACCCTGAGTCTCTACTACACCCCGAGTCTCTACTAGACCCCGAGTCTCTACTACACCCCGAGTCTCTACTACACCCTGAGTCTCTACTACACCCTGAGTCTCTACTACACCCTGAGTCTCTACTACACCCCGAGTCTCTACTACACCCTGAGTCTCTACTACACCCTGAGTCTCTACAACATCCTGAGTCTCTACTAGACCCTGAGTCTGTAGACTCTGAGTCTCTACAACACCCTGAGTCTCTACAACACCCTGAGTCTCTACTAGACCCCGAGTCTCTAGACCCCGAGTCTCTACTACACCCTGAGTCTGTAGACTCTGAGTCTCTACTACACCCTGAGTCTCTACAACACCCTGAGTCTCTACTAGACCCCGAGTCTCTACTCCCCGAGTCTCTACTACACCCCGAGTCTCTACTAGACCCTGAGTCTCTACTACACCCCGAGTCTCTACTACACCCCGAGTCTCTACTACACCCTGAGTCTCTACTACACCCCGAGTCTCTACTACACCCCGAGTCTCTACTACACCCCGAGTCTCTACTACACCCCGAGTCTCTACTACACCCTGAGTCTCTACTACACCCCGAGTCTCTACTACACCCCGAGTCTCTACTACACCCCGAGTCTCTACCCCGAGTCTCTAAATCCTGAGTCTCTACTAGACCCCGAGTCTACACCCCGAGTCTGTAGACCCTGAGTCTCTACTACATCCTGAGTCTCTACTACACCCTGAGTCTCTACTAGACCCCGAGTCTCTACTACACCATGAGTCTCTACTAGACCCTGAGTCTCTACTACACCCTGAGTCTCTACTAGTCCCTGAGTCTCTACTACACCCTGAGTCTTTACAACACCCTGAGTCTCTACTAGACCCGAGTCTCTACTACACCCTGAGTCTTTACAACACCCTGAGTCTCTACTAGATCCCGAGTCTCTACTAGACCCGAGTCTCTACTACACCCTGAGTCTTTACAACACCCCGAGTCTCTACTAGACCCCGAGTCTCTACTAGATCCCGAGTCTCTACTAGACCCCGAGTCTCTACTACACCCGAGTCTCTACTACACCCGAGTCTCTACTAGACCCCGAGTCTCTACTAGACCCCGAGTCTCTACTACACCCTGAGTCTCTACTACACCCTGAGTCTCTACTACACCCTGAATCTCTACACCCCGAGTCTCTACTAGACCCTGAGTCTCTACTACACCCTGAGTCTCTACTACACCCTGAGTCTCTACACCCCGAGTCTCTACTACACCCCGAGTCTCTACCCCGAGTCTCTAAACCCTGAGTCTCTACTAGACCCCGAGTCTACACCCCGAGTCTGTAGACTCTGAGTCTCTGTGGGTGTTGGGGCCGTTCCCGTTACGTGGCGCAGGCCTCCATGGCGAGGAGTCCCGGTGAGACCCGCCGGGACCCGTCGTCCCGGTCTCCCGCTCGGCACGGAGCGGCACTCGTCACCACCGACCTCGATGACCCCGAGTTGCACGGGGCTCCTGGTATGTCGCCAAGGTCACAGGTCAAAGGGGGGGCACTTGAAACTCTGATGGTGAGTGTGTGTGATAGTGAGTGTGTGTGATAGTGTGTGTGATAGTGAGTGTGTGTGATAGTGTGTGTGATAGTGAGTGAATGTGTGTGATAGTGAGTGTCTGTGATAGTGAGTGTGTAACAACCCCCTACCTCGTGGTGCCGGAAGGGCAACGCTGTGGTGGGCAGTGCCGTGGGGGGAGGGCCAATTCCGATTGGCCTCTCCCCTCATGGCGTCTGTGACCACCACAGCGGCCAAATGGGGGCTCTGGGCGGGTGCAAGGGGCTGGTAACCCCTCCACCTTCAATTAATTACCACGAAACCACGACCACAACATTTTATGAATAAGCTTGTGCAGGAGGCCCTGGGAGGCGTCTGTGACGTCTCCTGGCCAAACCCCAATTGGCGGAGCCAGGAGACTGAATCTTTACCCTCGGGGCTCCTCCAGAAACAACAAAAAGCCACTGCGTGTGGCCACGTGGAATGTTCGAACGCTCA